GTTAATTTAAGCGTACAGAAACGTTGCTGTTGTTCCAGCAAAAATCTTATTTTCACTTTACCGAGTGCCTAGTAGGTAATTTGCAGATTACCTAGATAATCTGAACATTACCTAGGTAATTTGAGAAATGGAATAATTTTCGCAGCTTTAACGGATCACCCTAGTTAATCTGCAGATTAGCTAGGTAATGCGCACATTAACGGATTTCGAGCTTTAGCGGTAACATATATATAAAATGTTAATGTTATCACAAATGTCAACAATCAAAAAATTTTATTTTTTATGGTTTCTGAAGTGAACATAAAAATATTAGAAGTATGATTTCAAGGTCATCAAATTTATTGCTCTGAATTAATGAATTATTTTTTACAGAGAAATCTCAAAGAAGAGAACTGTAAAGTAGTTTTATATGTAACTAGACACAACACTTTTAGCAGTGTGTAAAAATTTGCATATCACTGATGTTTTTGATCTGTTTAGTGGGTTATCTTCAGGCATACTTAAAAAAGGCAGTAGTAGTCAGACAGTTCATATGTATTACAGTATGAATGGTTGAGTACAAAATTAACATTTGAGGAGATAGGACTATGACAATGGTGGGTGACATGTTAGATTTAATAGAAACTCTTATGTGGAAGGGTGAGCAAGGCCAACAAGAAGGATGGAAAGCTGGTCACTGTAGGCCCCATACCTGCTACAATGACCTGAATTGAAATTTGTATAATAAAATTTTAATTATAAAATCTAGATCAGTTTATACAGTTTTAAGTGCTTAATGGGTAAAAAAATAAATGTAATAAAAAAAATATAAATCTAATCTCTTTTTCTAATGTGATGCTTGTTATGTCAGAGGGACAGAGAGACCTACGAGCAATGCCAGATGATGGAAAATAATACACACACAAGCTTTGCAAATTCTACTGATTATACATGAAATTAATAATGGGAATAAAAACTTATATTGTTGCACCTTTGCAATATATAATCTGATTCTACCTAGGAGTCCCTAGTCCCAGTTCCTGTATTTTCTCTCATGGCCCTGAAGGCAAGTCCATGTTACCTCTGTTTAGAGACATTGGAAATTGTTTGTCTATAGATTTCACTCGTTTTTAAAATGTTGGGATATTGGAATGGGAAAGAAAGGCAATCTCCTTGATAACTAGAACTGCTTGCTAAA